CCCCCCTCCCCAGAGCGTCACGTAATTTATGGACGGCCCCTGAGAGAGAATCAGATGTACCATTTTGTTTCTTGCGGACTCTGGCGTAAAGGCAGGTGATCGATCGGAAAACCCTGTGGCATGCTGAAGCATCATTCTGTCTTGCTAAGGAAGAACGCCGTATGAACATTCAAGGGTTGCCGAGTTTCCTTCGATAAAATGTTTATTTTTACGGCAAGTTATGATTATTTTTTCTTAAAATTTTCAGGAACTTTAGGTGAATTGAGAACAAAATTTTCCGAAAATCCCATCCCATCCCATCCCACCTATAATCCCATATATGATAGTTACCGGATCTATGTCAGCAATTCTTTCGTTTACGATAACTATCGTTAGATTTACGTTAGCTGTCTCAAGTTTTGTAATTTTGTCCAGTTTGATCTGATGAAGAACTGTATAGATCTTCGGTGAAATCGCATTTACCGTTTACTTATAAACGGTAATTAACGTAAGTGCCCTACTTACGCTGTTTTCCACTAAACTGTATTTATGAAAGTTCCATTCCTTGGTTTCCTTGGTAACCTTTGTTTGCTATCAGCTGATGTTTTATTTCCATTTCTCGGCCAAGTCAACTGATTTTATTTATATTTTTTTTTCTTATGGCATGCATTGCACCCCTACCATCATACATATTTTGGGGTTTCATTCGTACCGATAAAATATTGTATTGTATATTGATCTTCGATATATCGTTCGATATAAAGCAAGATAGACAGGGATAAGGCGGAATTTATTGATATTCGCCGGGATAAAAGGTAAGAATTTTAAGAAAAGGGGAATAATCAGTGTGAAACGGGGTGGATAAGAATTGAACAGGATAAATAGTGATAAAACAAGGTAATGTCTATCGATCTTCGATATGTAGGTCGATATAAAATATGATACAGATGGATAAAAGGGGATGGGGAACGACATTGATATTAATTGAGTTAAATGGAGGAAGTTTGAGAAGAGGAGAAAAATCAGTGAGTAACCGTAAAGATAAGGATAAAACAAGATAGGTAGAGTTATCCCACCCTTTGATAATTGATGGACATAAATTCCAGTCAGAGGTAAGGAATTCAGGGAGCCTCCTGCATTCCTTCCCTTGCTGTGGAATTTATGTCTATCAACGACGTTCCGTAAGGAGTCATCGTACGCTGTTTCTGCGCTAAAACGCCAGGATTCTCACCGCTTGAAGCCTTACGGACCCGAGGATGGAATTTATGTCTATCAGTGACATTCCACAGCCCGGCGCCGGCTCCCTGCATTCCTTCCCTCTGACTGTGGAATTTATGTCTATTGCCGACGTTCCGTAAGGAGTCATCGTACGCTGTTTCTGCGCTAAAACGCCAGGATTCTCACCGCTTGAAGCCTTACGAACCCGAGGATGGAATTTATGTCTATCATTGACATTCCACAATCCGGCGCCGGCTCCCTGCATTCCTGTCCCCCTGACTGTGGAATTTATGTCTATCGCCGACGTTCCGTAAGGTGTCATCGTACGCTGTTTCTGCGCTAAAACGCCAGGATTCTCACCGCTTGAAGCCTTAAGGACCCGAGGATGGAATTTATGTCTATCAGTGACATTCCACAGTCCGGCGCCGGCTCCCCTCATTCCTTCCCTCTGACTAAGGAATTTATGTCTATCGCCGATATTCTGTAAAATGGTTCTCATAGGTTTTTTGGAACGAGATAAACGATTCTGGCATTATTTTTCCGGAAAATTTTTGGCCTTTTAAAAATGGCGGCGGTTAATATGGCGACCTTGAGAAGCAAGAGAATAAATTAGGCTGCTTATCGGTGAATGTGCATGAAATTTGGTATCAGGGGACACTTAACGGCATGAAAAAGACGAATCCGTCATCAGATTTTTTGAAAATCTGAATAACTTCAAAATGGCGAGGAAAATGGTGGAAATGGTGGGAAATGGTTTATTCCGGACGTTTACAGGTGGATTCGCATGCTGCCATTTTGAAAGTATTTGTCATTTCAGAAATGCATCGCGGAAGAGGCATGTTTTGTCCAACCAAAAACCAACAGGACCCAGAGTTTCATTCGCATCCAACCGTAAACGTCCGTAATACCAAGTTTCTGCATTTTCCAGATGCAAAAGGATTGATAAGCATAAAACTGCATTCATCCCAATTAATCCAAGTTCCTCCTAATTCAATAACATTCATCCTTGCCGGACAAAGAATTTGATTTTAAATTAATTGCATTTTAAATAAATTAAATGTGTCGAGTTTTATAAGTTGAGATTAAGAAAAAAAAAAAATCTAATCACTTATTGGTAGGTTATAGGTTATGTTACATTTTTTTTGTCTACCGGATCAAGACCCCCTTAACCGCTCTTAACCTCTCACCATAAATTGTGCTGAACTTTTATCAAGTGGATCGCCGATCTCTCCAATTAAAAAAGAAAAAGAAAAAAAAAAGTGTTTACCAAACAGGAAAAGATTACAGTAACGCCATTTCAGTTCACCTTAAATTTCAAGGTAGGCAACACGAGTTTCTACGTGGTTGAATCGTCGTGAAATGACAGTTTGCCTTCAATGATTAGTGTAGGCAACACAAGCTCTCACGTGGTCGAAGAGTGGTATCATCGTCCGTGCAATAGACGTTCTCTGTCTGCTAATTTGTTTTTACGTCATGTCGGGACCGCGTTTGCCAGTAAACTAGTTGCTCCTCTTAACTGTTATTTATTAAGCTGTTTTTATTTTTTTTTACTTCGCGTCCGAGCACATGAACACTAAAAGAGAGAGATGATGCTGATGCTGATGATGACCATGAAAAAAAAGGAGAACAACGAATGATGCAGAACAAGAAGAGTGAAAGAAAATAAGCCAGAATAAATTTAGAGAGAAGAAGAAGATAATGAAAGTGGGAGAAGCAAACAGACAGAAGAAATGAAAAGTAAAAAGAAGAAAGCAGTGAGAGGGAGATTGAAATAAAATAAGAACGTGGAAATAGTGGAATAGCTGTTTCATCGTGAAATTGCACGATTACTTGGAACGTTTTTAAAAAATAGCATTTCACCAAACTGGAGAAGATAAATTAACGTCATTTCATTTCGCCCTCAATTTCAGTGTAAGCAACAGGAGCTTCCGCGTGGTCGAATAGCGGTATCGTCGTGAAATGGCACGCTCACTCAAGCAAAATAAGCTCCCATGTGGTCGAATAGTGGCATCATCCCCGAAACAATATCGGCCTAATGCTCCCCGTAACTAAATTTTTGGTGAAGCATCTAGACCCGTGACTTCAGTCAAAAATTAACATTAACATTATTCTACCTCTCCTTCTCTACTGCTAATGATTAATATATATATTATTCTACCTCTCCTTCTCTATTGCTAATGATTAATATCTTTTTTTTACTCATAGATTTAATATATTTAAGTGCTGTTTTATGTCAGCACTTAAATATTAATAACTATATTACTTTATGTATATATTATTCTACCTCTCCTTCTCTATTGCTAATGATTAATATCTTTTTTTTACTTATAGATTTAATATATTTAAGTGCTGTGTGTGTGAGGTCTACCAAAGGGATGACGGTTCACTGGAAAATAAAAATACTCATTTGTTTATACCAGGATATTTGTGTTTTATCGAAGGAAATTTGGCGACGCCTGAAGGCTCATACGGCGTCTTTCCCTAGCACGGCAGCATTACATTCGAAAGATATAAATTTAAATTTTAATAAATTTGTTATCTTGCCAAGGTCCTGAAAATGAGCCGAAAATCAGTGCTTGTCGAGCGTAACGCCGTGTTCTCGGACCTTCTGGAGCCGACCGTCTGGAAGCCGTTCGTCATCCTGGTGCTCTTCCACTTCCTCCAGACAGGCACCGGGTTCTACGGGCTCATGTACTACACGGTCGACTTCTTCGACGACCTCCGCACCTCTTTCGACCCCCTCACCGTCACCATATTCCTCTCCGTCGCCAGGCTCGTCATGAGCTGCGTCTTCGGCACCTACTGCGCCACCCGGCTCAACCGCAAAGTCGTCACCGCCCTGTCCAGTGGTAAGTGAGAGGGTAGTATCTTATTGAGAAATAAGGAGCGCAAAATGAGAACTTTGCCCCGCTGTCTTATGAACTGCGGGCAGATTATTGAAATTGATGGACAAAGCTATAGACAGCGAAGACAAAAAGGATATGGTGGGCTCCTCCCAAGTAGCAGTGATCGAGATAAATAGCGATTTTATCGGTTGATTATCGCGATATTATCGAATAAAAAATTGCGATTTATGGCGATGAAATCGCTATATATGCATCGCATTTTTCTGCTCGATAAAATCACGATCAATTTTCGCCAATAAAATCTGGATTAAATCGCTATATGTCGCGATTTTTGTTTCGACAATATCGCGATAAATTGCCGGGCGATAAAATCGCGATTTTATTGCAACAAGATAGAGGATAATCGCGATTTTATTGCAACAAGATCGAGGATAATCGCTCAGACGTTGATGATCCTGGCTATTTTATCGCGGATAAAATCGCAATATATTGGATTTTTCCGTTGTAAAAAGCTACTCATTGGGCTATTGGTGGAAGCGAGTGATTGCAATGGATAAAGGAGGAAAATAATAGACTAACCAATGGCAACCGACAAGGGAGGAAAAGGGGGTTTTAGCGACGGATGACTGTGAGTGACGGGAAGGGAGAGGTGGTCAAGTCAAGCATTCCTGAAGGCAAAAAGGCTGAAAATGCTTTCTTGAAATTTGACTATTTCTACTGATTTTTATCGATTTACTGCATCTAGGGGATGGGGGGGGGGTAG